TTGTTTTTACTTCATTGATTTTAGGGAGAGAGAGAGAAAGAGGGAAACATCAATGTGCAAGAGAAACATCCATTGGCTGCCTCCCATATGCACCCCGATCAGGAATCAAACCCACAAATTGGGCATAGGCCCTGACCGGGAATCAAACCTACCACCTTTTGGTGTACGAGACGACACTCCAACCAACTGAGTCACACCGGCCAGGGCTTAGAGACATGTCTTAAAGTGACAACCCAGAAATTGCACATATATCCAAACCTAACTGCAAGGGAAGTTGGAACAATATGGCCTGTAGCCGGGCAGCATGACCCAGGTGAAATTTGTGGGATTCATTCAGTTACTAAAAGGAAGAAGGGAAAATGGATTCTTTAAGATAGCTAAAAAAGAGAGAGATACCAAGAAAGTACCTATTAGGTAGTAATCATTTAGTGTCTGTAAATCAACTCTGAATTTTAATATTTTTGTTAAATAATTCATGTCTCTGAGAATGTCCAGTTGGGTAGAATAGGCTCATTCCTTCTTCTGCCCTCACCCTGCCCTACTGCAGAGGGAGTGTTCATGCCTTGCCCTCCCAATCTCCAGGCCTCCAGGTACATGTTATCCTCTCTACCTGAAATTTCTTTTCCCAGTTCATAACCTGGCTGGCTTTTTGTCACTCTTCTTTGCCCGAGACACCATTCAGGTATCACATACTTCTGGAGGGCCTCCCTAAACAATCTCCATCTGAGTTAATATCCCCTTCCCCATGTGTTTATGGTGGGAAACTGTGGCAGGAGAGGCTCCCACCACCACTGCTGTATTGGCAGCCATCAGCCTGGCTTATGGCTGAGCAGAGCTCCTCCCATGTGAGAGTGCCCTGACCACCAGAGGGCAGCTCCTGCATTGAGCGTCTGCCCCCTGGTGGTCAGTGTGTGTCATAGTGACCAATCATTCCTAGTCTTTCTGCTGTTAGGGTCAGTTTGCATATTACCCTTTTATTATATAAGATAAAGGCCTAGACTCACTCTTTCTCCTTTTTCTTTACAAGACTCTATATCTTTATTCTAGAAGACAAACCTCCATCATTTATTTTCTCAATGCAAATGGCAGGAGGGAGGGAGCCTGTCTCCCAAGCACCAACATCCTGGGAGTTCAGAGGAGAGAATCTGGAGGGTTTGGCAGTGGAGATGGAATGGGGGGAAGATAGGAT